TCCATAATATGAGCAATACTTTCTCTGGGTCACTTTGCAGACTTTAAAAAATCAGATCAATAGGTTTTGATTTTCTAATGTTAAACCATTTTTGTGTACCTAGATTAAATTTTCTATGGTCTTACTCAGAATTTTTGCATTTATTTTCATAATTTACATTGGCCTCTAATTTCGTTTTTTGTTCTCTCCTTGTCTGGTTTTAGTATCGGTGTTATACTGGTCTAATGGAATGAGTTGGAGAGTATTCCTCCTTTTTCTATTTTCTGGGAGAATTTGTTTAAGATTGAAATGTTCAGTTCCTAGGAAGTTGGTCGTATTTCTTTCTGAGTTGTCTAGGCTCAGTGTTTTCCTCATGGGAGGATTTCAAACTATTGCTTCAATTTCTTTAATAGTTATAGAACAATTCAATTTTCTTTCTTAAGTCAATTTGGGTACAGTATGTTTTTCTGGGAATTTGTCCATTTTGTGTAAATTTTCAAGCTTATTGGCATAAAATTGTTTATAGAATTCCAGAATGTCTTCTGCATCTGTACTTTTGTCCCATTTATCCCTTCCTAATACTGTTTATTTATGCCTTTTCTCTTTTTTCTTGATCAGTTTTGCCTGAGGCTTACCTGTTTTGTTAGTATTTTCAGAGAACAAACTTTTCATGTTATTGATTCTCTCAGTTATAAATATTTTTATTTCGTGAATTTCTGCTGTTATCTCCTTTCCTTTTCTGCCTTTGGGTTGTTTTTATTGTTCTTTTAATAACTGCCTAACTGGAAACCTAAATCACAGGCCAGTCTTTCATAGGACGTGAGCATAACTACCACTTTTAATGCATCCCACAAGTTTTACTATGTAGTCTTTCCATTATTATTTGGCTCTAAACATTTTTAATTTTCATTATGATTTCTCCCTGAACCCATGAAATTATTTGCAGTGTGTTTCTGAAAGTTCCAATATATGGGCACATTCTGTTATTAATTTCTAATTTAATTGTGGTGTTTTCTGAGAACATGCTTTATATAATATTGATGTTTTGAAATTCAATGGTGTTTGGTCTAGGATTCAATCAGTTGTTGTAAATGTTTACGTGTGCTTGAGAATAGTGATTATTTTCTGGTTCTTGAGTACCAAGTTTAAGATATAGTTTGTAAATATTTATTTATCTTGGGGGAGAGCGCAAGTGAGGGAGGAGCAGACAGAGGGGTACAGAGGATCTGAAGCGGGCTCTGCGCTGACAGGCAGACAGCAGTGAGTTCAATGTAGGGCTCGAACTCACAAACTGTGAGATCATGACCTAAGCCAAAGTCAGATGCTCAACAGACTGAGCCACCCAGGCACCCCACTGAGTACTAAGTTTAAAATATCATTTGGGTCAAGCTTATTAATTGTGTTAAAATATTTTATATATTTTTGAGTTTTTATCTTTTTGAGGTATTAATAAATTAAGAGATGATTTTAAATCTCTGATTATGATGATGAGTTTTTCAATTTATTTCTATAATTCTTTTCAATTTCACCTTATATATTTTAAGTCTATTTTATTAGGTGCATAAAATTTAAAATATTCCATCTTCCTTGTGAATTGAATTTTTATCATTATGTATCAATATTCTTATCATTTAAATTTTTTTGTCTTAATGTCTGTTTTGTCTGATGTCTGATGTTAATATAGCCGTACATTTGTCTGATATTCCCTTTTCTCTTTTTTTTTTACTTTCAGACTTGCCGTGTGTTAAGGGTATCTCTTGCAAAATAGGCACACACACACACACACACACACACACGTACAATCTTACAACTGCTGTTTTTTTAACAGAATCAGGAACAGGCTTCAGCCTCTGAGCAGCACAGAATTTGGGGCTCAAACCATGAACCGTGAGATCATGACCTGAGTCAAGGTTGGACGCTTAACCAACTGAGCCATCCAGGTGTCCCTATATTTGAAAACTTTAAAGTATCTTACACATAGATATTTATTTGTTGCACTTTTCCTATTTTTCTCCTTTTTTTAAAAAAAATATTGAATTATTCCTGCTCTGTGCATTCCACTTTTTTCTCCCCTCTGCTTTGAAATTTATTAATCTATTATTTTGTTGATTCTCCTTGAAATCTTAATGTAATATTTAACTCCAAGTTTGTTATATGTTGGAGAAATTTTAAAACAAATCTTTAAAAAATTTTTTTATCATGTTTGTTTGTTTTTGAGAGAGAGAGAGAGAGAGAGAGAGAGAGGGAGGCAGAGAGAGAGACACACAGAATCACAGAATTGAAAGCAGGCTTCAGGCTCTGAACTATTAGCACAGAGCCCGACATGGCACTCGATCTCACAAACCTCGATATCATGACCTGAGCCAAAGTCAGAAACACTTAACCAACTGAACCACCCAGGTGCCTCTGAAAAAAATCTTTATGATAGTGTTTGACTTGAGATTTTCCAAGGAAAAATAGCTACAACACAGAAGATATCTTTGTTCTTTTCCCTCCCTCTGCAGCGCCAGAATCTTCTCTCTTCACTAAGGAACCAGAAGAAACTGGGCAGAGAAGAAAGGCCATTGATACTTAATGGGGGTTGCTAAATATGTAGGAAACAAGGAGGGACTGGAGGACCAAGAGTTTATTTCTTTTATAAAGAGGGGTGAAGCAGCCTGGGGAAAGGTGGAGAGTTTGTAGACACTAGATACAAAAGACATTAAAGGGAGAGTACTCTGGAGTTTGAAGAGAGAAGGGAAGTATTTGGGAACAAGGGTGGGGTAGTTCCTAAAGTCCCAGGACATAAGAACTCTTTCCTTGTGTACAAGTGAGTACCTTCACTCACTTTGTAAATTTAACCTATCCTTAAAACTAGGATGACAAAACACAGTCCTCTATCCCAACACCCAACCCAACTCTGTCTTTGCAAAACTGCCTGAACACTACAGGAAAGAACTCCTTGAACCCTCATCAAGATACCAGGTAATAAAGTGGTATTAGGAGTAGATAAGAAGAAGCTTCTCCCTTCATGGTCACCAGTGGACAGGCACAATTAGGACTCTTGCTGGGAGTTGCAGAAAAGTGAGAGGCAAATATCTGAAAACTACAATCCGAATAGAGAACTGTTTCCTGAGTTTCTGTTTCCCAGAGGAATACACTGTAGCACAGCAAAGGAAGAAAGCTATCACATGGCTTAAATAAGAACAGTAGTGTACAACATCACATAATGAGTATTATGATGGGGGAAATACAGAGTGCAATGGGAGTGAATAGAGACCCAGGAAAGGACTTTCTGAGGAAGTCATGTTCAAGCTGAGTCTTATCTGGGTGAAGGTGATGGCACTGCCTTAGATGAGACAAATGTTAGAGACACAGAGAACACATTATGAGGTCTTAAAGGTGAAAGAGAATATGCTGTGTTTGAAGGACTGAAAAGTTTAATGTGGATCATTGTGAGCCAGGAAGGGAATGGCATGAAATGAGTCTGAAAAAGTAGACAGGGACCAAATGCCTTGAAAACCATGTCATATATTTGATTTTACCCCATAGGCAAGAAAAAGTCACTATAGCTTATTTGTTTTGTTTTAACAGGGAAGTGACACGACTTAGTCTGCATTTTTGAAAATACACTCTGGCTGCTGTGTAGATTGGAAATGGGCAGGGCAGGGAGAATGATTACGATGTCCATTGTAATAATCCAAGTGAACAATGATGGTGGCCTGGACAAGTGTGGAGATAAAGGGGAAATTAACCAACTTGAGAGATATTTAAAAGGTAGATTAAACTTGGTGATGACTACATAAAGAAAGAGAGAAGGAAGAAGTCAAGAATGACTCCTAGGTTTCTGAATTGGTTAGCTGTGACATAATTTATCAAGCCAGGGAACCTGGGATGAGGAGCAAGTTTGACAGATGGTGTAGAAGAGAAAGACAATGAACCCAGTTTTATACAAGTTAAGTTGAAAAGAGAGAGCCAAGTAGAAATGTTCAGGCATGTTTCCACCTTGACTTTTGCAGTTGCCTCTACCTGGAACACTCTCCACAAATATCCACATATCTCACTTTCTTAAACTTTGTCAGGTGTCACTTTCTTCGGGTTTCAATGACCCCTTTATTTTTAAAAGTAGTAGTTCCCTCCTTCTACTTCATATTCTCTCTCTTCTCTCCATGTTTTTTTTTCATAGTTCTTATAATTTTGACTTTTTCTGTATTTCCTCTATCTGAAATGCATCCTTACTACCTCAAAATGCTTCAAGGAGCACTTCAAATCTCAGCTCCTTGGAAAGCTCTCCCTGAGGTCACCAGGCTGAGTTAGGAGTACTCTACTCAGGAGTCTCATTCTTCATCTTGAACATTTCCATCATACTGCATTGTAATGTCTTCTGAATCAGGAGTCTCTTCCACTGGTCTGTGAGCTCCAGCGGGGCAGGAACTTCAGATCCTTGACCCCTAACACAGAGTAGATACTCAGTAAATACTTGTTGGATGAAAGGCAAAGTTTTCAATAACCACCATGGAATGGAGCACATTAAAGGATATTTTCCCTTTCATCTGCCATTAAATGAATGTTGAGTTGTTTGTTAAATTCTTGATGTATTTTCCTTCCCAGAATGTATTTCCCTTTCTTCAAAATAATATCACCTCTATTACTTTTGAAGAATTACTTCTTCCCCATCACCTACAGTATATTAGTTGGGCTCTCAGTCACGATATCTTGCCTTACCAAGGGAAGGAAGAACACATAATGCAAAGTAAGGAAAGCAGTGTCTCTAACCTTAGAATTCATATCTTGAATAGAGGATGAAAAATGGTTAGGATCAAATAACATCCATGTCTTCCTGACTGTTCCATTCTGTAGGTCCTATTCCCCAGGAAACCAGAAATTTCCTAGTTCCTGTCATTTCTAGATCCTGGTTCTTCAAGTTTTCCTTTGATTTGTTGAGTACTCCACTTCCTTCTTTTATTTGTTTGTTTGTTTATTTATAATTCACGTCCAAGTTAGTGGATGTCACCAGTGGACAGGCACACTATATGCTGGCAGCATATAGTGCAATAATGGTTTCAGGAGTAGAATCCAGTGATTCATCCCCTACATATAACACACAGTGCTCTTTCCAACAAGTGTCCTCCTTAATGATCCTTGCCCATTTAACCCAACCCCCCACCTATGACCCCTCCAGCAACCCTGTTTGTTCTCTATATTTAAGATGTTTTGTCTCCCTCCCTGTTTTTATATTATTTTTGTTTCCCTTCCCTTGTGTTCATCTGTTTTGTATCTTAAAATTTCACTTATGAGTGAAGTTATGTTTGTCTTTCACTTAGCATAATACACTAGTTCCATCGATGTTGTTGCAAGTCACATGACTTCATTCTTTTTGATTGCTGAGTAATACTCCAGTGTGTGTGTGTGTGTGTGTGTGTGTGTGTGTGTGTGTGTGTGTGTGTATCACATCTTCTTTATCCATTCATCTGTCAGTGGACATTTCCATACTTTGGTTATTGTTGCTAGCACTGCCATAAACATTGGGGTGCATGTGCCCCTTTGAAACAGCACACTGATATCCTTTGGATAAATATCTAGTAGTGCTATTTCTGGGTCATAGAGTAGTTCTATTTTTAATCTTTTGAGGAACCCCCATACTGTTTTCCAGAGTGGCTACACCAGTGTGCATTCCCACCAGCAATGCAAAAGTGTTCTTCTTTCTCTGCCTCCTCACCAACATTTGTCGTCACCTGGATTGTTAATTTTAGCCATTTGACAGGTGTGAGGTGGTATCTCATTGCGGTTTTGATTTTCATTTCCCTGGTGATGAGTGATGTTGAGCATTTTTTCATGTGTCTGTCAGTCATCTGGATGTCTTCTTTGGAGAAGTATCTATTCATGTCTTTTGCCCATTTCTTTACTGGATTGTTTGTTTTTCTGGGTGTTGAGTTTGATAGGTTCTTTACAGATTTTGGATACTAACCCTTTATCTCATACGTCATTTGCAAATATCTTCTCCCATTCTGTGGGTTGCCTTTTAGTTTTGCTGATTGTTTCCTTTGCCATGCAAAAGCTTTTTATCTTGATGAGGTCACATTAGTTCATTTTTGCTTTTGTTTCCCTTGCCTCTGGAGACATGCTGAGTAAGAAGTTGCTGCAGTCAGGGTCAAAGAGTATTTTGCCTGCTTTTTCCTCCAGGATTTTGATGGCTTCTTGTTTTAGGTTTAGGTCTTTCATCCATTTTGAGTTTATTTTTGTGTATGGTGTAAGAAAGTGGTCTAGGTTTATTCTTCTGCACGTTGCTGTCCAGTTTTCCCAACACCATTTCCTGAAGAGACTGTCTTTATTCCATTGGATATTCTTTCCTGCTTTGTTAAAGATTAGTTGGCCACACGTTTGTGGGTCAATTTCTGGGTTTTCTGTTCTGTTCCATTGATCTAAATGTCTGTTTTTTATTCCACTTCCTTCTAATCAATTCCTTTTGGGGCTTAAGTTGGCAAAAGTTGCTCTCTGTTGTATGCATCCAAAAGTCTTGATATAAACTTAGATTGGTAGTAATGGTAAGAGAATCAAAAAGCCTACTAATGTAATGGATACTAAAAAAAATGACACACTCATAACTTAAATATTTTATTTGATCATCATGCGTATAATATTCATTAGCCAATCTTTGGATTCAGGGTCAAGACCATTTATTTAAGCATAGTTTTATTTCCTTTTGGAATACCCATACCCATAATGCATGTCCTATATTTTCCAATTCCATTTAAAAAAAAATTTTTTTTCAACGTTTATTTATTTTTGGGACAGAGAGACAGAGCATGAACGGGGGAGGGGCAGAGAGAGAGGGAGACACAGAATCGGAAACAGGCTGCAGGCTCTGAGCCATCAGCCCAGAGCCTGACGCGGGGCTCGAACTCACGGAGCGCGAGATCGTGACCTGGCTGAAGTCGGACGCTTAACCGACTGCGCCACCCAGGCGCCCTCCAATTCCATTTTTTAAAGACATTGTGAAACAATCTGAGTACAGAATTCTTATAGATTTTTACAAATTTTCCTGATCATTTATAATTATTTTTATTAGATGTAATTGAACAGGTTTTTTTTTTTGTACTTTAATGAGTCTCTGTAAACTTTCTGCATAATTTTTACATAAACAAAATCCTCTTTTTTTCCTCCTTCATATTTCATATATTTACCAAATGTTTAATTAGATTGTGCAATTATAATAACAACTGGCAAAACAGATTTGGGAACAAATACATTGGACTATTGGTAAGCACATAACTTAGTTGGTGGGGAAAATGCAAGGAACATATCAAAGACAACCTGTCAGTTGATAACATTGAACTTATTTTGGGTATCTGTCAGGGAATTAAAGGGCTATCATTATTCCTTGGATAAGGGCTCCCTTAAAAAACACTTTTATTAAACTCATATTTAACTTTAGAGCCTCCTAAGGAAAATACCTTTTTTTTGTTGTTGTTGTTACTTATTGCATGATACCTCTTCTTGAATTTCACAATTGGAAGATAATGGTGGAGGTGTTAGCTAACACTGTGGTATAATCATACTGCAATGTAGAAGTAAATCGAATCAACATGTTGTATGCCTCAAATTTATACAATATTATATGCCCATTATATTTCAGTAAGCTGGAAAAAAGAAGACAATGGATTATTTTGGAATGAGGTAAAAAATATTTCTTTTGGAAGCATTAATATCCACCATACTAAACTGGTGTTTGGGGAAATATAATTGTAGTTCAACAAATGCAGTTAGTTAGCACTTCTAATGTGATTGACTCTGTTGCTGAATGCAGGACATACATAGATGAATCAGAAGTGGTTTGGGTTTATGCAAAACTCAAAATATAAAAAGGCACCCCAGTTTAATGAGACATTAGAGGATCTGACACGGCCTGTGGCCCTGAGGTGCCCCCAGGTTAGTTGTTTAGAGACAGGATAAGGACACAGGAAACTAGCTAGCTCATTGTCCAAGGTCATTGGTGATTCAGTGTCAATGTGATGGCAGCAGCTAGTCAGTGCTCCAGACGGAGGGATCCGAGATGCCTATTGTGTCATTTATGTAAATTTTACTGTGCATGTGGGGCAGACAGTGAAGGCATGGACATGTAAGTGATCAGACACATAGGCTTCTGGAAAGAGAAAACCAGGGTAATGAGTGGGACACTTAGTGTTGGGAAAAGCTGCTCTATGGAGATGAAATCTCGGCTGAACGGGGAGAGGGAGTCAGTATGTGAAGATTTAGGGGGAAAATGTTTCAGTGAAGGCATCATCTATTGCAGCTGTCTTCATGCAGGATTAATCTTGGAATGTTTAGGGCAGAAAAGCTGGGGTAACTTTCAGGAGGTGCCCGGTTTCTATTTCTGTAGGACAAATAGAATTAGCGAGCTTCTCCTGCTGTGTGTAAATAGGGGACAACCCTGGCCTTTTCTAAGCTCCTCTGGGGAGCCACGGATCCCTGGGCAGTAACATTACTGTGGGGAGCTGAACTTACAACATTAGAATGCAATTTAACACGCCTCTGAGAGGCTGCGTCAGGTAGGCACACTCTCTTGCTTCCCGCATTCCTCAGGCTGTGCTTTGATCCATGTCAATTTTCAGAATAATATAGAGGAAACTGCAGACTCAAATAGGAAACTTCGACTCTATCATTTTATTTTTCCATTTTATGGTTTTTCCCTTCTGTCCGGGCTCTGTTCTGACAAGCCAAGGCTTTTTGGCAAATCAGCTGAAAAGTACACTTAAACAAATGAATATGATTATAGGGATTCAGCCTTCCAGGATTACTCTATTAGAGAACTTGTTTAAACAAACCTACTTTCTCATTCCTGCAACTGACAAAACTGTAGGAAAATCACTCATGGTTGAAAACAAAGTGTAGTAAAGTGCTATGTTATACCGCTGGCTCTGTCAAAGGGAAAATAAACAAACAAATCACAAGCAACAATGTGTTGTGAAAATGATAGGTCAGAGGTTTATTTAAAAAAGGAGAAAATCCAAAAAAAAAAAAAAATCAGATTGACAGTTTGATTCCAAAGGTTGATAATAAATATGAAATAAAAGCTTTATAAAGAACAGCATGCCGTGATTTTCATCTTGACTGTATGGTTGGGTGAATATATAAACAAACAACAGTTTGGGGAAAAATTAGCAACATTGGTTGCTCAATCGAAGAATCCAGATTGACCTACTTAAATTTTTTAAAAATGTTTATTTTTGAGAGAGAGAGAGAACGAACAAGTGGGAGAGAGGCAGAGAGAGAGGGAGACACAGAATCCAAAGCAGACTTCAGGCTCTAAGCCATCAGCACAGAGCCCGATGAGGGCTTGAACTTGTGAGCTGTGAGATCATGACCTGAACCTAAGTCAGACTCTTAACCCACTCAGCCACCCAGGCATCCCAGATCAACCTACATTTTTAATTCACATGTTAATCTCTAAGCGAAGGACTGATCTAGATGTTAATGTTCTTGATAGCTTGGTTTAAAAACAAGGTAAGTAAAAACTTAGTCATCAAAAGTTTTCTTGGCAAATATGGAACCAATCAACAGTGGATAGAGTTGATGGTTTGGAAAGACTTAATGAAAACTATATTCAGGGCGACCGTGTGTTCCGGGATGTCGATGATAGCCCCACTTCATACCTGTTGTGCCAACACAATCACTAGCAGCAGCTTCCTTTCACTCTTAAAAGTGTTTTGCTGCTTAGAGCACATCCTGAAAGTTAACAGTCCTCCCCAGGATGGAATCTGTCTGGCTGGCAACTTTGCCTTTCACTAGAATTTCGGTTTGCGCTTCATCCATTCATTCACAAATATTTCTAGGAAGTGCAATACCAGATATTTTTCCAGTCATGAAATTGCAAAAAAGAATAAGAAACAAGTATACCTCTCAAGGGGTTCGGAATATATAAGGATCAGTATAGGGTGGACATAAATTGTTTTTCTCAATTCAGTGCAATGAGCTTTAATGACAACATATTGTGTATTTAAGTGCTGACCAGGTCCCCAGGGAAAGAGAGGTGAGCAAGACAAGGTCTACGTCTTTAAGAAGAAGTCGTTGCTGGTGGATCTACTTGCTTCCACGTTTTTAATGTAGAGTCTCCACTGGCTTCCCATTTCACTTGGAATAAAATCTGAGTTCCTTATCATGGTCTTGAAGCCCTGATCTGGACTCTGCCTGCCTCTGTGACCTTATTTCACACTACTTTCTCTGTGGTTCACTAAGCTGCAGACTCTGCCTTTCTTTGTGGTCCAGGCATGGTCTGAGCTCATCTTGGACTCAGGGGGTTTGCACTTGCCATTTTCCCTCTCTCCTTATAAACCCCTTCCCCCAGTCATTCTGTGGCTGGCTCCTTTGCATCTTTGGTGCCCAGGCTCCAAAGTGATGTCTCCCCTCCCTCTGCCCCGTTTTACCTTTTTTTTCACAGCCTTTATCATCCTCTGAAAATAATTTTGAAGTATGTGTTGCTTTTTTGTGCTATCTTCTTTTGATAAAATGTAAGTAGATTATTGGCTGTCTTGGTTACCCCCAAATCCTTGTACCTAGAGCAGTGCCTGGCATAGTAAGTGCTCAGTAAATGTTTCTGAGAGAATGAATAAGTACTTAGCGACTCTTTCTTTCCTTGGGTTAACGCTAACGTCTCACAATTCAACAAGCATTCTTAAAAGCCTTTTTCTTGCTTCTTTGACATGATTCTTTTTGCACTTTGAGTCCTGGAGCTCCTTATTCTTAGTCCATTCTCTTGACAAGAGTTATTTTGTGTCGCTTGCACCAACACACCAGTGTTGACTTTTGAAGCTCACACAGGTACAGAACCGCTCAGGCTGTTGCCTTCTGTGCCTCCCTGTTCTAATAAAATACAAACCTGAGAAGATTTTCGGTTATTTCTCTTGCTTCTTTTCATATCTGGGGAGTGAATGCCAATCCGTTTCAGTCTGAAGGGTCAGTGAGAGATCTGTGGGCTTGTGCCTGGCAGTGGTGGGGCTATGTTTGGGATTAGAAGACAATACTCCTAATCCAGTGTAAACAGGCAAATATTTTCAATATTTAGTCCTGTAATGATGACAGTTTGTCCATTCCCTTTGAAAAAGGGACTGTTGAAGTAGGTGAGAGATGCCTCATTTGTCCTTAGTTCACAGTCAGTTGGTCAGTGAGGAGATCAAGCCCGTACTGCAAGCTGCATGACCCTCCTACTTCAACCAAGGACAGTAGCCAGAACTACTTATTTGAATTATACATAAGCTTCGCTTATTCTTTTACATAGAATGGTCTTGTATTTACTCTAAAATCAACAATTCAACTCCTCAATGAAATGCTGTAGACCTGACTGGAGATAAAAGAGGGTACGATAATTCAAGTGTGGTGCCAAACACAGTGTCTTGAATGACAGTGACATGCTTTCTTACATGTTCTCTCAACAATCCGTTGAGGTAGGCAAAACAAAATTAACCCATTCCTAAGCTTCAAGGGTTGAAGGCTATTGGGCCAGAAAATGGCAAAGCAAGAAGAGCTTATTTCACATCTTCTGAGGCCAGCCCACTGTGATTTCCATTACGTCATACTTTGAACGTCCTTCCCACCTTCTGGGTATATTTCACTTGTGTACTTCACTTTATTTTCAGCTAATCTTTTCTCTTGAATGGGACCAGTGCAGCAATTTTTACTTCATGTCTCATCTTATTAATCATTTACACAGAATCTATTGGCAGCTGATCACATTTGGAATAAACACAAGGAGTGCCATTTGTGTTTTTAGAGTAGAAGATACCAACAGGGGATTGATGTGGGAGAATTTGTGTTGGCTGAAATGCCCATGAAGAATAAAGGAGGATAGGAGGAGGAGTAGACAGGGATAGCAAGAGTACACAGGTCTGACATCTGTGAAAGAGAGAAAGATGGAAAGATTGGGTTGGAAGAGCCCAGGCCATAGTGCAGTTCTGGGAAATTTTGACCAGGTCAGTGGGGAATTCCTGCACCAAGTCTTCTCTCCCCTCCCCTTAGCGTAGGGATTGGCAAACCATGGCCCAGGAGAAAATCCAGCCTACCACCTGGTTTTGTAAATAATGTTTTATTGGAATATAGTCACACCCATTCATTTACAT